ACATTGTCCGTTTTATATCATTTAGTATTCTCGACTCCTGTGCATGTTCGGTCTCTCTTTTTTTTCATGCTCATAAAACAAAATGTACAGTTTAGTACCAAATAAAATGTCAGGCCTAATCCAACACATTTTTGTCTCTGTGTCATTTCATATCTCTAAATTCCACCGTACAAATATATTTTGGTAACAAATTGCATTATAAACGGACCTTTACACAGACACCATCAAGCATCAGCAGGACATACACACCGAGTAAACAAACCAGTAAACAACATTGCTGTGATATGCTCCACAGCGATGATGGCAGTTGGCAGTTAGCAGCTAGCGATAACAACATAATATGGGTAAAAGCAAGTTAGCTAATGTTATCAAGCCTGGGGTTTTATCAAGAAACCCAAAACTTTTACACCTCAGCCAAGCAGATAAACCTTTACAGTGTTTTCACTCACTTTTTTTGTGCACAATTTGAAAATGTGCAAAACACAGGCAGATGGAAACACACTCACTGTCATCGTATGTTCTTCACTTTTATGTATTTGCATTTGTGTCTGTTGGAGTTATTTCTAACTTTTGTGTACTTAACAACATGGACGTGCAAACATGGACACCTCACAGTCACACGTCTGTTGTTTGATTTAATTGCAGCCAAATTTAATGAATATATTGTAAGTGTGTACAAGTACACTGTACAAGTGTGTGACAGTGAGGTCAGGACACACATGTGGTGTGTCACCCTGCAGACCATCAACATGAGGTCGTGTTAAGAAGCAAAGAGTGACCCCACAGGAATCAGTTTCATACATTTACCCCCTCTGTTTCCTTCAACACACACACACACACACACACACACACATACTACACACACACAGACACAGACACAGACACACTCAGGAATGTGTTTTACAGTGAAATGTGAGCCTGTGGGTACAGCTGGGTGTGTGTTATGATGTGATGTACTTGGCTGAAAGAATGAAAACACAGCTTTAGCGAGTGTTCACGCGAGTCAAAGGCTCTAATTGCATCTGAATCACGGGCAGTATCTTGCGTATCTCTCACACACACACACGCACGCACGCACGCACGCACACTCTATACTCTTGAAATCATCGTATGCACTTTATGCTGAGGTGCCTCTGCACTATGCACAGTTATCTGATCCTTCTTCACTTCCAGATCCTCATGTGGTCTGGAAATAGATCTGTTCCACCAACATGACAGATGTTCCACTAATCTTATTTGTGTTCAGAGGATCGAGGATCGAGGTGGGATCCAGGGGAAGCTTCAGTGAGGACTCTTTTATCTGACCGACACACCCCTTTATTGGAAATCTGTGACTGGATGATGCAGCTGAAACCACATCGGCACAATACTGCAGTCGTGTAGTGGCGGATAAATAATAAAACCAACTCAGGTGTTGTATTACTCACAACGTGTTTCTTTTCCACTAAAATAAATGATCTTGCAGAACAATATCTCTGCCAGGTAAACTGGTTTGAGAGCCGCACCGACACTTCACTGGTCTAAAACCAAGAACTGCTTAGGTCAGCTGAACAGCGCTGAACAGTTGAGAGAGAAGAAAAAGACGTCGCTCCAGGCTGGTGCGGCAAAGTGCCTCAAAAGGACTGACTTTAGGTTTGGTGGTGTTGCTGCTAGTTGTACCACCACCAGGCGAGGCCGAGCCCTGTACCAGCGGTCACATGGGTGAAGAGGAGCCGAATGAGACAGACAGCAGAGACGAGGGCAACAGCAAAACAGCAGAGTCAGATCCAGCACAGTCCTCAGAGTCCAGGCAAAGCGCCAGTGACATAGTAAGGTTGATTAAGATAAGACTTATTTGGCTAGCTTGCTTTTTAGCCATATCAGTCGCAAATGAGGAAGTTAACAGTTACACAAGTATCAATGAGGGATTAATGTGATGGCTGATTGTTTTTTGTTTGATTAGCTTAGAGACTAACCACATGTCAGATCTTTTTTTCTGGGTTTAATGAAACAAAAACGAATAAAATTATAAATCTTATCCACATATTTCTCAATGGCATGAAATGGCAGGTTCAAGAAAGTTGAACTATGGGTATCTGAATCTGCATGGACCCATACCCTGACATCTGCCTGCTGTAGCAATGGGAACACTGGAGTTATTCCTTGCAAAGGTACGGCTGCATTAATCGAGAGAAGCTAAAGTAGTTTTGGTTGTGTTCAGTGTTTGTCAGCTGTTTCTTACTGACCTGCTAACATGTTTGTTTACCTGCAACTGTTTCAGCTGTAGATTTATCACCTCCCTGACGTGATAGATATATAGACAGATAGATAGATAGATAGATAGATAGATAGATAGATAGATAGATAGATAGATAGATAGATAGATAGATAGATACTTTATTTATTCCCTAGGGGAAATTAATGTCACGGTGTCAAAGCGTTGCTGGGACATTTTAGCAAAGTTTACTGTCCCCAGGACCCTCGTTCTGTTTGTTGGGAACTTGTTACTCGAGATGTGACAGCTGTGACTCCACCCACTCTGTGATGTGGTTCTCCCTCTTCATTGATCACAGATTTCTGACGTCACTGTTTCTTCTTCTGGGTTTTTTTTCCTGGCAACCTATAAAAAAAGAAAAGAAAAATAAACTAAAATGTGAAAAGAAAATTTGAGTTAATGCACATTCCCATTCATTTCAGATATGTGAACATTCATTGATATGAACAGTTGGTGGCACTAATTTTCCACTTTTCCATTAAACCACTGCAGAAGAAGAAGACAGCAATGATGACATCAAAAGAGCTCCAGTAAAACCTGAAAAACGAAAGGGAACAAGTAGAAAACATGATGTAAATCTGACATTTCGGTTTGCTTCATGTGGTAATGTGAGGAAGGTTCCAGCCTCCTCCTCATCGCTCCACACAGACCCGATGTTTTTGTCTCTTCACTGGAAGCTTGAGTGATGTTTCAGTCACTGTACATCATTGTTTATTCACTAAGTCTGTTTCCACCGCACTTTGTCACTCTTTGTTTTTCCATATTTGATTGAAATTCTTGTGAGCTGGTGAAAACATGATGACCAGGAGTTCAGATGTCTCAGGCAGAAGTATTTATTATAAGCTTGGTGCCAAGGAGAAAATGATGAGCAGTACACCGTCAGCATGTGAATCAGAGTGGTGTCAAATCAATATTACATATGTCTTGTACTTCCCCTACTTAGCTCATCTTTGACAACAACTAGATTTGAACAATATTTTCAGTCTGTGCTTTTCTTGTACACCCTTATTTATAAGACTAGGTACTCTAGCCACGGATGATAGCTGTGGCTCCATCTAGACACAAACAGTCATAATAGAGGCTGAACAATGTCTTACAATGTGAAGGTTGTTATGGCCTGAACTCTTGGAGTGTTAGAGAGGTTTAGGAAAACACGGGGAACACTGGAGGAAGAAAAATCTCCTTCACGCCATACACAAAGAGCGACAGGGTCCAGGTCGGGAGGAGGTTGTGGTGGATGGATGAATATGACACAGGAGAGCGGTGTTCAATTCCCATTTGAAGCTAGCTGTTATTATTGTTACCATGACAACAAAGATCGTCAAATGTTGTTGAATGTTGATGTTATTTTAACCCAAATCATGATCTTTTCCTAAACCTAACCAAGCCATGACCGTTATTATAGTAGCCATGGCAACAAAGGTAGGTTTGCCGCTGTCGGTGCAGTCCCAACCAAGGTTCAGTATGCCTGCCGCCATAGGGGCGCTATTTCAGGAGACACTCCTATGGGTCGTATCAGAGGGTTGAAAGGACTGGTTGGAGAAACCTCCTTCTCTGTTGGGGGAGGACAGAAAAACCATGAGACTGGAAGCTCAGTTCGGTTCCTACCGACACAAGACAGCACAGACGGACAAATAATGAGATAAATAATCATAAATAATAAGGCAAATAATAACCTGCCAACATACATCAAACTGTATCGACTGACATATTTATATTACTGTGTGTAATGTACAAAATTAATTGTATGTTGTTGGTTGCTGTCATTGTTGCTCCTGTTCATACTGGCTGATCCCCTCCCAACAATGAGCAACAACATGGGACCAAATCCACAATCCTGGTCCTGCGACATGCAGTCTGAAGTTCAGTCTGAGTCAGACAAAATCAGTGGTTATGTTTCAAAGTGACTGTATCTGTTTGGAACAATATTGCCTCTTTGCATGACTGTGTCTTTTATTATGACAAACACAGTGTGCAGGGACACAGAACGAGGCTATTTTCTACGAAGAACACTGTAACTTTGGAAGATGCTGGTTTGATTTAGACTCCTGAGGCCTCAAATTAACTTCTGCTGAACTGTAGAAATTATATCTACACAAAGCAAGGGTTGAAATGTGTCAGGAAGCGATCTCTTTATGGCAAGTATGGACAGAAAGAACAGTAAAAGTGATTAATAACCGTGTCCATGTACATATGGACATGTGAGTGTTGTTTTCAGACAGACTTGAAGAAATGTTAACGTATCCTTTAAATGTCAATAAATCAAACTGAAGCTGAGGAAGGGAAAAACAAAGGAGGACAAAAAGCTGAAGGGAGATAGAGAAAGCGAGGAGAGCAAGGGAGGAGAGGGGGGAGAAAAGAGAGGGAGAAAGAAAGAGGGTAAGAGGAGGAGGAGGAGGAGGAGGAGAGAGATCGACATGGAGAATGTGGAGTGAGAAGATTGAGGGGGGTTGTGTTTGTTGCGCGTACCAGTCGGTGCAGTGTGTGAAATGTGAAACATGGTGTGTGTGTGTGTGTGTGTGTGTGTGTGTGTGTGTGTGTGTGTGTGTCGAGGGGAGGATCCTCTAACTCTTAAAACCGGGTCAGAAAGAGAGAGACCGGCAGAGCTGAGAGTGAGAGGCACTGAGGAGGGAACACACACACTTTTACCGACTCTTAAACACACACACAGAGACTCACACACACACTCACACAGACAAAGACAAGCGGCCTATTGTACACACACACACACACAGACACACACACACAAACACGGTTGTTGATCACTTACAGACACACACACACTTTCATAAGAACACACACACACTCTTCACTGGACTCTGGACTGACCACTTGAGGATACATCCCTCAGGAATCTGTTTCCCATCATGCACCAGCGGAGCCTCTCAGAGCTCCAGGGGGTCTCTACACAGCGGGGGGCCTCGACCCGACGGACTACCCAGGATCGAGCCTCGAGGAGCTCCAGGCTGCTGAGTAGGGGGTCCATGCGCCGCTGCCTCTGCCCGCCAAGGGGAGCTCCTCTCTGGGCATGGCTGCTGCTGAGTGCCCTGGTGGTTCCCGGAGCCTGGAGCTTTCTGAGCGAGGAGCAGGAGGAGCTGCTGGTGGAGCTTCACAACCACTACAGAGGACTGGTTTCGCCCAGCGCCTCGGCCATGCTGCCTCTGGTAAGACACCTGCAGCCTGCAGAGCTTAAAATACCACCATGCAGGGAACTTCAGGGAAGCTTCGTGTCATCAGCTCATGTTTCATCATGACCTGTTTTAAAACGTTAACGTCGTTCCAGACTCACATTAACCAACAAAGTAAATAAGGTGAGAGTGACGTCAATATAATGAGCTAATATTGTCCGTTAACTGTCAGCATCAATCTGTGACAGTTTCCTGCCTGAACTCAGCTGCAATGGCATTTTTTGTTTACATTTTTAATAATTAATTTCATCTTCAAGTGGTGTTTTTTTGTGAAATAGTTCCTCATGAAAAAGCCCCAGTGTTTGTTGAGTTTCTCTGGAATTAATTTAGTGAATCAATAGTCAGTCTTGATCTTGAGAAGTGAGCTGCCCTTGATTCACCTTCTTCTAAACATCACATAACTTATAACTGACATACTGTTAGAATAGGTGTTACCCTGCTGCTAATGTTGAATTCATTCAGTGGATAGTTTCATTGTCTGTGATGGTTCAAATGTTGTTCTAGAGGCTTTTCAGCTCAGACTAGAGGAAAACTAAATATCTGTCATATTTTTGGACATTAATTGTCCTAATCCTAAATCCTAAATCCCAGTCAAAAAATATTAGTGTTGACCTTCAGAAAGTTTGGTCTTCAAGAGGTCAAAGGGCAGACCTATAGTGGTCAGTCAGTACAACGGCATTAACTTCCCAGATAGCAAAATTAAACTTCCGCTTAACTGTAGAAGTTATATTCACACAGAGCGAGGAGTTGACGTCACTAAAACAAGAACTGTCATCCCATATACATACGTCATCATGATGACTCGTTTACCTTTACGCCACCAGCTGTTTAACAATGTCGCAATTTCAAAACATTAACAGCACGATTAAGTAGTAAACTGTAATGACTAAAATAACAATCACAACCAGCTCTAGTTGTGCAACACTGGGTTATAAAACATACACAAACACACACAGTGGGCTTCAATGAATCACCACAGCAACAGTTCCTTATTCCTGTTACCCAATGTGCCGTCTTTGAATCCTGGTGTTTCAGGTCACTTTACTCACTTTACATTTCAGCTCAGTTGATCCAAGTGTTTCATGTTCGCGCTCGTCAACAGGATTACAAGACAAATGGCAAAACAAAATGTAAATATTAGGAGCTGGGTGCCGTTAAATCATAGCAGAGGAAGAGCACACAAGGGGATGTAATTAAAAGAGCTTCACTCAGAGTCGGACTCACAGGAAGAGTCCGTTATCTCTGACTGAAAACCAGAGTCATGAAACACTTTATTGCATCCTTGACAGTTCCCACTATCAGCAGATGGGTTTGATTGTGCTCCATCATTTGATTTTATTCCATAATTGCACATCTGCCATCACAGACGCCCGTGGTCGGTCTGCTTTGCTTTCACACCACAATCAAAGTCCAACTGACGGCTTCACAGGAGCCTAAAGGAACCGAACCAAACGAGAGAAAGCACCAGAGATTGTCTCATCCTGCACGAAAAATTTCTTAACCATTGTTATTTTGATTCAATCCTTATTAAACCATTAAAACTCTTGACATTAGAGCCTCCTGGTCAGACTCACAGGCAACATCTCACAAGATCAGAATTTAAGAAGACAGCTCACATCTTAGAAACAACATGAACAGACACTGTAAAGACAATGTAAGAGGAGTCTCAAACAACCAACAAACAAGACTGGTCTAAAACAATCGATTAGACAATGATCAACAATCAGAAGAGGAAGCGTTTCCAACGTGAATTTCCCGAAGGAAACCAAGTTTCGCAACTGTCAGTTTAACGCTAGATGGTTTGAGTGAGAGGGAACAACAGCAAATGACGATGACGACTCCACAGACCACAGTATGTCACAGACTTTTCATTATACTTGGAAAAGAGACGCTGCTGTTGAGTTTCACTAATCTAATTTAGTGGCAGCAGGGAGTACCACAAATCATTCATTGAGTTTTATTAATGTATGAGGATGATGTGGTTCCTCTAAAACCTCAGCAAGTCACACTGGAAGTATCTGGAGTGATCAGAGTGTGGGAAACAGGAAAAATATAGTTTTTATTGAGTTAGATACCCAATTCAATAGCTGTCATTTAAAATACAATTACAATAACCAAATGCCTGTTGCTGGTGAGCTAGATAATGTTTGAAACGTGTCTCATATCTCCTGTCATTCTCTACATCGAACTGTCTCATAAAGACAAAGAACACAGACACAACTGTCGTTAACAGTGCAGATAAATCAGGATTAATCTTTCAATTAACAGAGTAAAAAACAATGTCACAACATCACGACTTAAAAGTGGTACAAGTTCAAGATTTATAAGTTTACTGTTCTTCATTCCATATTTTTCTTCCTGTAGTTAAATCCTATGTGCAGATCCAAACCACTGAATGTCTCCTACTAATAAGTCCTGCGTGTGCATCACAGCCTGATGTATCTGACTCCTCGGAGCCATAGAGCTTCATTGTTTCCAAGAGCGATTAAAACACATCAGTGAGTCACACTAGATCACCATAAACACACACTCTGTAGTTTATTTAGACTCAGTCCCACACCCAATACTAGAGCGCTGAACATGGATTAATCTGCCACTTAAAACATGAACAATATAACAAATGCTTTATATATTTCCTTCAGCAAAATAAACTGTATTCTTGTATGTAATTAGCAAGCGGCAACCTCCAGGGCTGAAAAAATGAAGCAAACATTGAAGTGCTGAAATCTGCAGTTCCTCTAATGGCTACTAAAGTCTGGCTCCAAAAGTGAGTCAATCCCCATAGACTCCCATGTTAATATATCCAACTTTGCAGCAGAAATAAACATGTTTACAGCCTGGTACAAAAACAGCTTCGGTCTGTAAAGTAATTAGCTTTATTAGCAGTGTGTGGCAATGGTGGCCCTCCTCAACCTACAGTATCCTCTAGAGCAAAATCAGGTCCAAGTTCGTATAGTACTATATACCAATACTGCACAGTGTGTAATACTATATATACTCATCTTCACAGCTGTGACTGGTGGTAAACAAGAAATGGATGCACACTTCTATCATGTAGGACGGGATAACAGAGGACAAAACTCAACAAATATAAAAAGAGATGATTCTACACAATTTATTCTAATCATCTCCAGCTGTGGGTTGCTGCTTCATTTCTGTCCTGCATTGTATTGTGGGGTCACAGTGTCCTCCGACACTCAGAAGTGCAGTGAATTTAATCTGATTTTACTTAGGCAGGATGAGGGTCAGATCAAATGATGTGGTAAAAAAGACGAAGTGGGTAAAAAAAAGAAGGAAGGAAGGAGTGATTAAAGGAGAAGAGGGGACTAGACAAGAAAAGAGTCTGATCTGTTGTGTCTGTTCATATCCTCGTCTTAAGTCCAGGACAGATCTGATCCAAATTTACTAACATCATGTATATTCATCCTTCTCCTCTGTCTTTGTTTCTTTCTGTCGAATGGTCCCAGAACACAAACACACAAAGCTCTGGCGTTGTCTTATTCTTGCTCTGTCTTGTTCTAATTATCCTTGTTTGCAGTTGTTTTTTGTGTCCTTTAATTGTTTTCATGATCAAACCACTTTTTCCATTTTTCCTCCCTCACTAGTCAGCTATTGGATAGTTGCCTTTGTTGGATACTCAGGTCCTGAGTGTGGAAATATACAGTTAAAGTCTTTGAGAGCTTTGAATTTGAGTTTGTTTTTTTGCTCATGTTGTGAATCAAGCGGCATCTTTGAAAAACGGATCATTTTCACACTGGTTTCCATAAGGATCAAACAGATCCGTCAACTTTAGAGTTGGTGGTAGGTGGATGTTGTTGCTTTTTTACAGAGCTAGGCTTTTTCCAGTCTTTATGCTAACCTAAGCTAAGCTAAGCTGAGCTAAGCTAAGCAGCTGTTGGCGTTTACTGACAAAAATGTTATAAACACGTTACTCATCTACCAAGAGGGCGAATAAACATACTACTCAAAATGTCGAACTGTTAAAGTGTAATTTGTCAGTCTCAGTTGTGCTTAGGCTAAATTCTGGTTTGACCTGAATGCTAATGCTAATGCTAAGGATATCAACATGTCAGTTAATACCTAAATTACGATTGATAAAATTCAACTGGAATTTACTTTGTTACTGTTCACATGTGGCACTGTAGCCCACACTCACATATTAGGCTATATTTGATACTTCTTAAGGTGGAGATTCTCTATTTGGACATAACTGGCCGCCAGTTGCCAACCACTGGTTTAGCGTGTTAGCTTGGTAGTATAACATTTAACATACAACATTTAACATAACACAGTAATCTCAGTGCAGCTGAGACTTATTGGAGGCTGACTAGTTTTAACAGAATCCTGTCACAAACTGTTGTTGAACTGATACACAGGTGGACGATTATTGATTAAGTAATCAGATTAAGTTCTAATTTCCACCAGCCACCTGCTGTGTGTGTGTGTGTTGTCAACGGCTCAACTAACGTATTGGAATTCATTCTGTGGGGAAGAGGAACGTCTGAACCACATCTGATCCAGTATTTGTTGAGATATTTCACTCTGGAACAAACACGTCGACCTAGTGATGGTGCTACAGTAAATGAAAAGTCAGGGGATCACCAGAGTCATTAGGGTTCATCCTCTAAGGATCATGACAGGAAGTCAACACTGTTCTGACTGACAGAATGACGCCACCGTTCTTAGCAGTGAGTATGAACACTAAACATTACATTATCACCTGGCAGAGACACTGCTGTCACTCGACTTCCTCTCTTACAGGATATTAAAGACTTATTTAAAATTTTTCCACTCGTCACGCTGCTGCCTCCAACAGAACAGTGTGTAACTCTGAGCTGGAAGTGCAGGTGAACTGAGGGTCAGATGAAATTGCTGTGTTGGTTTTGTGGTTCGGGCAGGCAAAGGCCGGCCACTTGTTTTGGTTTGGTTGATGGACCATTGAGAAGAAGGAGGTTGTTTAACTCTTTATGGAGATG